AAAAAAAAAAAAAAAAGCAGTTGGACATCTATCTATGACTGTAAAATAGTGCATATATACTAATAGTTAACAAAGTGGAAGTCCTATACTAGGGAAAGATGAAAACACAAACCCCCTGCTACTTGTATGGCTATGATACTAAATACAACGTTATTGATATTATCAATGTGAATTTTGGAGTAAGAGTTTTTGAATGCCTCCTGTGACATTCAGTGCCACTTGCCCAACTTCTGAGCATGACTTCCTCTACCTGGAATATCCCTTCTCCACTTGGCAAACTTGAATGTCCCTCCTTGGGGGAACTGTCTTAGCAGGTGGTGCCCATGGTTGCTTGTTTCTGTCTTCAATAACAGCTCACCTCCCTTAGAAATGTGTCCTTGTTCCCAGACTATGAACTGCTCCTGGGCACAAATCATGCCTATAATTTAATCATCTCTATAACTTAATTCCTAGTCGTCTATTGTAGATGTGCAATACATTCTTTGGAAGGAGGAATGAAGATACTCCATTTTTTTTTTTTTTTTTTGAGACGGAGTCTTGCTCTCTTGCCCAGGCTGGAGTACAACAGCTCCATCTTGGCTTACTGCAACCTCCGCCTCCCGAGTTCAAGCGATTCTCCTGCCTCAGCCTCCTGAGTAGCTGGGATTACAGGCAAGCGCCACCATGCCTGGCTAATTTTTGTATTTTTAGTAGAGATGAGGTTTCACCATTTTGGCCAAGCTGGTCTTGAACTCCTGAACTCAGGTGATCCGCCTACCCCGGCCTCCCAAAGTGCTGGGATTACAGGCATGAGCCACTGCACCCAGCCTAAAGGTACTACTTCTAGGCACGCTGCCAAATCTCCCACTTAGACTCCCATTTATGACCGTGGTGATTAGGGGAAAATTTAAGGGAGAGGTTATATGTGACATGAGCCTTAGAGAATGAGTGAGGTTTTGATAGATAAATGTGGACAGAGAAACAAAATTGGCAAAGTCATCCAGATAGGTAAGGGCAATAATAATTGGGAAGTTGGGATTAACAATCTAGTTTGGGTAGAACACAGGGTATGTGTAGACCCACAATGAACCCAGATTTGGGGATTCTTGAAGCTAGGACAAGAAATCTGGATGCAGGATGGTTTGGAACAAGAAAGTCTGAAGGCAGGAAGATCAGTTGGAAACACTGGCTATAGTCCAGACACACACTGATCAAGACTTAAGTGATTTCTCCTAGAATTCCTGAAACCAAAGTTATTTTCAGACCATAAAGCAAAGTTCTGCCCATAATTTGTGAAACCTGAGAATTTTTTTTTTTTTTTTTGAGACAGAGTCTCACTCTGTCACCCAGGCTGGAGTGCAATGGCGTGGTCTTAGCTCACTGCAATCTCTGCCTCTTGGGTTCAAGCAAGTCTCCTGCCTCAGCCTCCCAAGTAGCTGGGACTACAGGCACATGCCACCATACCCAGCTAATTTTTGTATTTGTTAGTAGAGACAGCGTTTCACCATGTTGGCCAGGCTGGTCTCAAACTCCTGACCTCATGATCCACCCACCTCAGCCTCCCAAAGTGCTGGGATTACAGGCGTGATCCACCGCGCCTGGCCTGAGAGTGTAATTCTAATCACAAGACACATTACTTTAAATTTCCCCAAAGCAGAAGGGTTGCAAACACCATGCTGCTGAGTGGGTCATTCTTCTGCACAGTGGTCAGTGCAAATGGCAAGGGAGAGGGCCAACCACAACTCACAAGATACCCAAGACAAGGGGCCAAGGAAGGGCTCCTACCGGCAAGGAGTAGAGGAGCACGGCCACGAACAGCAGCAGGATGAGCAGGAACAGCAGACCGATGATGACCCACTTAAAGCGGCGCCACACGATGAACTTCATGGTCTTGCACGGGTTGGTGAACCAGAGGAAGGAGGTTTCTGGTCGGCTGCATTGCAAAGAAATGGTAATCACCTACCCAACTCAGGAGGGATGCATATTTTATTCCAGAGCATAACAGTTTCAGGAACAAAGAATCACAATAATAAAGCAAGAAAGGATATTATTCCCCTTCTTTGACTGAGAAAGCATTTTTTTTTTTTTTTTTGAGATGGAGTCCCGCTTTGTCACCCAGGCTGGAGTTCAGTGGTGCAATCTCAGCTCATCATAACCTCCACCTCCTATGTTCAAGTGATTTTCCTGCCTCAGCCTCCCAAGTAGCTGGGACTACAGGTGTGTCCCACCGCACTTGGCTAATTTTTGTATTTTTAGTAGAGACAGAGTTTTGCCATATTGGCCAGGCTGGTCTCCAACTCCTGCCCTTGTGATCTGCTCGCCTTGGCCTCCCAAAGTTCTGGGATTACAGGCCTGAGCTACCTCATCCGACCAGGGCTCTTTAACCAATTACAGCTTCCTAAGATGCTGAGCTTTGGTTTCCTGGGAAAAGAGAATTTTTTTTTTTTTTTTTTTTTTTTTTTTTTTTTGAGACGGAGTCTCACTCTGTCACCCGGACCCAGGCTGGAATGTAGTGGCACAATCTTGGCTCACTGCAGCCTCTGCCTCCCGGGTTCAAGCAATTCTCCTGCCTCCTCAGTAGCTGGGATTACAGGCGTGCACCACCACACCTGGCTAATTTTTATATTTTTAGTAGACATGGGGTTTCACCATGTTGGTCAGGCTGGTCTCAAACTCCTGACCCTGTGATCTACCCGTCTCAGCCTCCCAAAGTGCTGGGATTACAGGCGTGAGCCACCACACCCGGCTGGGAAAGGAGAATTCTTAAAATGAAGCCAGATCACCCCTCTCCACCCCCACCCTTCACTATTAAATACCAAATTAGGAGGACAACAAAACCTAATCCATCCCATGAAGCCCATGGGAAGGGGGGCTCTCAGACTGCAGGTGTTTGGGGAGCAGGATAACAAAGAGGGCCTCTTACTTTGGGAAGTCCAGCTTGGGGTTCATGTTGGGTTCATCCCGCCCCTTCCCGGCTGGCCTCTCGTCAGCCTCCTTCTCGTTGAGGATTTCCAATGTCATCTCCACTTTTCCCTTCAGTAAAGCAAAGCAGGTTAAACACATGACATCACGTTTCACAAATATTTTTACTTCAACCCAAGGAGTATTCCCCGAGCAATGGTTTTTATTCTTGTAAAACAATCCTTAGATTGCCTTCAATTTTTCTCAGGAGATTTCATCCCATTTCCTCTTCCATGTGTTTCTGAACTGACTCTGTGTGGGAAACTTTGAGGACAAATTGCTTCCCCCACGGTCTACTTTTCATTTTCTGTATCCCTGTCATGCTAATGTTCTCACATCTGTCACCTTGTCTTCTCACACACCTTCCTATGTAACTTCACTTGGACCCAGACTAACCTGAATACCGCTAATAACAACATCTAACATTTATTGAGCATTGATTGTAGGCTCCAATTAAAAGAATAGGGCCATGTCTCTTCATGCTTATCACTGTCACCTACTGAGCACAGTTGCTGGCGTTCATAGGTATTCCATGTATACTAGCTCAACAAATGAATGAGTGAGTGAGTGAATGTTGTCTCCCTGCTCACAGGTTCCTGAGTGATGCTCCCAGCACTGTTTAAATATTCTACATGGGTTATCTCATGTAATGCTCACGGTAACCCTGCAAAGGTACTATTATTGTCCAAGTTTAAATGAGAGCAGTGAGGCCAGAGTGAAAGAGGTCTAGACACTTGTTCACTTTTGGCCAGGCGCAGTAGCTCATGTCTGTAATCCCAGCAGCTTGGGAGGCTGAGGTGGAGGATCACCTGAGGTCAGGAGTTCAAGACCAGCCTGGCCAACATGGTGAAACCTCATCTCTACTAAAAATACAAAAAAACTAGCCAGCGTGGTGGTACATGCCTGTAATCCCAGCTACTCAGGAGGCTGAGGCAGGAGAATCGCTTGAACCTGGGAGGCAAAAGTTGCAGTGAGCCAAGATCATGCCACTGCACTCCAGCCAGGGTGACAGAGTGGGACTCCATCTTAAAAAAAAAAAAAAAAAAAAGAAAGGAACTTGCTTACTTTTATAGCAAGCCATATCTAAGAATGTAACAGACTTTCTAAGAGCCAGGAAAGCCCGCAAGGTCATTAACAATTTGAGAAACCCTGGCCCTAAGTAGAGCTCTGATGACTCCTACGCTTACAAATCAGACAAAGCTGGGCTTCTGACTTTGGCAAGTTGCTCCATCTCTCCAAGCCTCTTTCTGGAATCTCTAAAATGGGGACAATGTCTGCTTCATGGCCTTGTCAGCAGAACTAAGTGAGGTTATGTGCAAACTGCTGTATTGTAATGGAAAGCAGGTTAGTGGTTTTCTGGGACCAGTGAGGGAGGGAGCAATGGACTGCAGAGAGAGAGCACAAAGAAATTTGGGGGGTGATGGGAAGGTTTTGGATCTTGATTACGGTGTGGCTCGATGAGTGTATACATCTGTCAAAATTCATCAAATTGTGTACTTTAAATGAATCAGTTTATTTTATGTAAATTATACACCAAGGTTGTTTTTAAAAGGATTATGAATGTAAGGCACTTGGCATGTTGCCTGTTTCAAAATTAATGATCACAAATGTTAGCTATTCTTAATAATGCATAATGAACTAGGTAGTCTTTCATGATATGGCATGGTAACCCACATTATTGCTTCTAGATCAAAATACGTCTTGAGTGCCTCAACTTGCTTGTAATGTATGGCCTTTTTATTCAACTAATGCCAGCACACCTTCCTCCTTTTTTTTTTTGAGATGGAGTCTCACTCTGTCACCCAGGCTGGAGTGCAGTGGCACAATCTCGGCTCACTGCAACCTACGCCTCCTGGGCCCAAGTGATTCTCATGCCTCAGCCTCCTAAGTAGCTGAGACTACAGGTGCGTGCTACCACTCCTGGCTAATTTTTTTTTTGTTTGTATTTTTAGTAGAGATGGGGTTTTGCCATGTTGGCCATGCTGGTCTTGAACTCCTAACCTCAGGTTATCCACCTGCCTTGGATTACAGGTGTGAGCCACCACGCCCAGCCCCACCTCTTTTTTTTTTTTAATGAGAAAAGTTCCAATTTGAAGTTCCTTTTTTCCATACTAAATTGTACTAGAAGCCCAGCATTAATTAACTTTCCTGATGAAGTCCCAAGGAAAATACAGGGAAAACACTTGGGCTTCTAGTTTTTTGACCATTCCAATGTCTTCACCTTCCTCCAACTCTAAACACACACTCATGGCATCTCCCACCTTATACTGTAAGACAAAGGCAAACATATCTCAAAGACAAACTATCCCCATAACTTGAACACCTACCAATTTTAAACTTCCTTATTTTATCTGGAGTAAGTCTATGAATAAAGGGCAAAACCTAAATGATAAAAGGCATAAACGGCCCTCAACCAGAACCAGGAAATGTACATACAGCCATCACGCGGGAGCCATCTTTCTCTGCGTAGCATGGCCACCATCCTTTCATGGACTTCTGCTGAAAGAGGGAGGCCGTCTTGGCTTTAAGGGGGTCCATGGCTTTGAGGTCAGGAATCATGTCCAAACTGCATTTCTGTGGTGATTTTGCTGGAATGATCGTGTGATGCAAATCAAGTTCTAGGAAACCTAGCCAAGGAAACAACAGTAAGTCCAAATGAGCTTCAAGGGGATCAGCTGTCATTCACAAGTGAACAGAACGTTCTCATCAGGAGAGAGGCACACAGTGATTTTGAACAGGTGAAGGGTGAGTTAGAGAAAGGGAGCCTGGTCAATGTTTAAAGTCTTTCCAGTTAGGATGGAAAATGGCTGAAGAAATAGTTGTCCACCGCACAGCATCTCACAGAGAACTACCTGTTTTCTTTTTCAAAGACATGAACATAAACAGAGTTCTTCTTTAAACTCAAAGTAATGAAGTATCTACAGATGCAATTTCCACTCAACTCAAGGCCCTTGGATCTGAAATGTGTTCCTTTTAGTTCTGAGCTGCCCTGAACAGAGAGGTCATTTGGCTTTGGGTAAAGACAACAGGTGCTTAGAATGCAGGATGCTGGCCAGGTGTGGTGGCTCACACCTGTAATCCCAGCACTTGGGGAGGCTGAGGCGGGCAGGTCATTTGAGGTCAGGAGTTCAAGACCAGCCTGGCCAACAGGGTGAAACTCTGTCTCTACTAAAAATATAAAAATTAGCTGGGCATGATGGCATCTGACAGTACCCCAGCTAATCAGGAGGCTGAGGCACAAGAATCGCTTGCGCCCGGGAGGCAGCGGTTGCAGTGAGTGGAGATTGCACCACTGCTCTCCAGCCTGGGCAACAGAGCAAGACTCCATCTCCAAAAAAAAAAAATACAGGATGCTGCATGTAATGCGGATGTCCAAGACTCCTAGTAAAGCCTCAGAAACAGAAGCTTCAGAAGGAACATAACTCAACAGAAAGTCCTCACCAGGAACTGAGACTCCTAGCCTCAATCAGAGTGTCTGGAGAATCACATTGTTCCTTCTATGATGTGAGGCATTAACTTTTTGTTTGATTCTTTGAGACTGAGTCTCGCTCTGTCACCCAGGCTGGAGTGCAGTAGTGTGATCTCAGCTCACTGCAACCTCTACGTGGCTCTTGGGTTTAAGCAATTCTCATGCTTCAGCCTCCCAAGTAGCTGGGACTACAGGTGCATGCCACCATGCCCAGCTATTTTTTGTATTTTTAGTAGAGACGGGGTTTCACCATGTTGGCCAGGCTGGTCTTGAACTCCTGACCTCAGGTGATATGCTTGCTTCGACCTCCCGAAGTTCTGGGATTACAGGTGTGAATCACCATGCCTGGCCACATTAACTCTTTAGTACCACTTCCACAGTAAGAGAAAAAGAGTGTTTTGGGCTTGGGAACTTCTGTGAGCCCTTTCCTTAAGAAAATGGTATCTGTGATGTGGGGTCAAGTCTATGGACGACTGGGGCAAGAGTGTGGCCTTCAACGGTGGCAGCAAAGAGCAACAGGAAGGTTGTAGCATTTTCTCTTGAAACTATCTGGCTGAGGGACTGCTCTTCAGCATGTAATGGGCCCATGAGACACACTTGACCTCCGTCCTTCTTGACCTATGGTTGCTTTTGTCTCCCCTCTCCTTTTGCTTATGTGCTCACTCGGCATTTTGAGACAGTCATTCTCTTCTTGTCTGATAGTTTTGTTTAAATTCCAAGGGAAGACCAGGCATGGTGGCTCATGCCAGTAATCCCAGCACTGTTGGGAGGCTGAGGTGGGCAGATTACTTGAGCTCAGGAGTTTGAGAGCAGCTTGGGCAAAATGGCAAAACCCCATCTCTACAAAACATAAACAAAATTAGCCAGGCTTGGTGGCGCGTGTCTGTAGTCCCAGCTACTTGGGACTACAGAGGTTGGGAGGATCGCCTGAGCCCAGGAGGTCAAGGTTGCAGTGCTCCTAGATCTTGCCACTACACTCCAGCCTGGGCGAGAGAGTGAGACTCTGTCTCAACAAACAAACAAAAAAGCCAAGAGCAAACTCTTTATGATCCTAGAATTTACTCTCCATATGCTTTATGTAAGCCTACTTGCATACTCATTTGCTTATCGACCTCTTACTAAGCACTAAGTCAAAACCATTGCGTGAGGTGCTGTGCCCGGAAAAGGGATCAAGACGACACAACCTCTGGGGGGTGTTTCCTCTGCCAGGAGGGACATGTCCTAGCAGAGATCGCACTACTGCCAGGAGAAAATGAGGTTGAAATGGCAAGTGGCAGAGATCACAGGATGAAGGAAACAAGTGTGAGTGATAAAAGGATGAACTGCTAGGACGGAGTGGCTGGCGGGGTGTTGGGGGAGAGAGGAGGAAAACCGCAGAGCACTCTGAATGCTTTTGCCTCGATGGCTGGGGAAGTAGAGGGGTCATGAGCTGCTAAATCAGTTCCTGAGGAGAGCGGCGTGGGGATCAGGGAGGACATGCTGAGTGAGATTTCAGCCACAGTACATGCGAGCTGCCGGCCAACGATAAAAGTGGGAGGTTCTGGCCAGAAATCAGGAATGACCTTCACAACGATTTCCTCTGTACAGCAGGCACTGTGAGCATGCCGGCTACATGGCCTGGGTGAGGAGCTCTCCCTTGCTGAAAGGTGAGAGTTGAAGCATGCCCTTCCGCTGGGGTGAGTGGGTAAATCACTGGAGGGGCGGTTGGCAGGGTTGGAGGAGAGCAGAAGAACCTCAGGGAAGGCCTGTATATAGAGTGGAAGGTTGGGCGTTGTGGCTCATGCTTGTAATCCTGGCACTGTGGGAGGCTGAGGTTCAAGGATTGCTTGAGCTCAGGGGTTCAAGACCAGCCTGGGCAACATAGTGAGACCTCATCTCTACTAAAAAGTAAAAAATAAATTAGGTGTGTTTGTCCATGCCTGTAGTCCCAGCTACTCAGGAGGCTGAGGTGGAAGAATTTCTTGAGCCCAGGAGGTTGAGTCTGCAGTGAGCTATGATCGTGCCACTGCATTCCAGCCTGGGAGACAGAGACCTGCCTCCAAAAATAAAAAATGAAAAGAGTGAGCTGCAGAAACAGAGCTGGCTAATGTGACAAGGCCAGGGCTTGGCAGAGTGAAAACCTGGAGAGCACAGTGCCATGGGGGGCGAGGGAGGAGTGCGCCAGGAGATGCAGGAGCCTGGGCTGAGGGTGCATTCAACTAGTGCCCTTATCACAGAGTAGGATGGGCCTAGGGACAGAAGCAACGGCTGGGGGCATTGGGGGACCTTGGTATCTTGGGAGCAGATGGAGGAGGGTGGGAGTGGATTCCTAGGTGCTGAGGAGAGAGTGGCTGTGAAATAGGAGTGCGGCATCCCCCTGCGGAAACAGGATTTGAGTCTTCACAGACAGGAGCTAGTGCAAGACCTTCGCCAGGGCCCTTGAAAAGGGGTGACATGCACTGTCAGGCCCCACTGCCAAGAGCTCATGCAGGCAGTGGGTGTGTCCCCTGTCCCCCGACACCAAAAAGTTGGAAGATTTAAAGAATTCCTTCCAAGTTTTCATTAACTTCACTAAGTCCAAGTACAGTTCCTTAGAAACAATGATCCAAATGTAAGCCTTACCCAAGTAGTCATCCAGGGAAAACTTGTCGTTGTCCCATATCTGAATGATCAGTCTGGGTGGGACTCGAAACTCTGTTTGGTCAATACTCCAGAAATGCTCCTGAAATGAAAAGAAACATGAACACACCAGGTGATCCTGATGACTGGACTCCAACACACTCACCTTTGGCTCCTTAAGACAGCATCGAAGCCTGGGGCCTTTCTCTCCTTTCACCCCCACCTTGACACTCCCTTGGGCCTAATCCTTCCCCTCTATCTGTATGGAGAACAGCCAGGCTCCCCAGGAAATCACAAGCTGGGCAACTAAAAGAATGTCCCAGGCAGTTCCCAAACAGAAGCTTTCTTGCCATGTCCCTATCAGTGTGACTTCCTGCTGCCACCTGGGGGTTGGGGAGTGATTCATCTCCCCTCTGAAGACCACTGTGTCCTACTTAGATTATCCTCCTAAGGCCAGGTATTCTAGGCCAGCCTGCAGTATCACCCTCTGGGGTGTCACTTCTGCTCATTAACTTTCCCCCCACCCCCCACCCACACAGATGTCTGCACGTGCTCTCATTTTACATGGGGGTAAGGAGAAGGGGGCTCAGACTCTACTCTTTTATCCGTGCAGATTGAGAATGTCCTGGGATTTTTGGCCTTTGAAAAATACCACTGGGCTGGGTACACTGGCTTGTAATCCCAGCATTTTGGAAGGCAGGTAGATTACTTGAGGCCGGGAGTTCGAGACCAGCCTGGCCAACATGGTGAAACCCTGACTCTACTAAAAATACAAAACTTAGCTGGGCATGATGGTGCATGCCTGTAATCCCAGCTACTCAGGAGGCTGAGGCACAAGAATCACTTGAACCTGGGAGGTGGGGGTTGCAGTGAGCCAAGATGGCACAACTGCACTCTAGCCTAGGCAACAGTGAGAGTCTATCTCAAAAAAATAAAAAAAGAAAAAAAATAAAAGAAAAATACCACTGGCTTTGCTTGCTTGTGGTCACTTAAGACCCTCAGATCCTCATACTAGAGGTAGGTAGAAGGAAGACTAGGTACATGTCCTGCAAGTTCTTGCCTCCATTGCCTCAGATAATGTTAGCCAAGACTAAACATCTCCACAGCCCAGGTACACATAAGTTCCTCTGGCCCCAGTAGAAAGGGAATTTCTCTAGCACTTCATGAATTTGAAGGCAGATCGCTAGGTTGTTTCTTGTTTGTCATATTCCAAGAATGTTTTCCCTTGCAGGGCTCAGAGAGCCTGGCTCTGAGGGGCTGGGCAGCCCACTCTGCTGTTGCTGCCTGACTGTCCTGGGTGGGATCATGCTCCAAGCACCACAGGGTATGGGGAGGTCCAGCACTAGATGTGGACCATACCTTAAGGCCCATCTGACCCAGTGCCTCCCTGACCCCCACCCAATTCTGCCACACCATCTGAAAGTGCATTTTTCATATCACATTGAGCCTCTGTGCCTCCTGAAAGCCATCTCTGGCAGTTTGGGAGGCCAAGGTGGGAGAACGGCTTGATCCCAGGAGTTCAAGACCAGCCTGGGCAACAAAGTGAAACCCTGTCTCTACAAAAAATACAAAAATTAGCCAGGTATGGTGATGCATGCCTATAGTTCCAGCCACTAGGGAGGTGGGAGGATTGCTGGAGGTCAAGGCTACAGTGAGCCATGAGGAAGCCTGCGTGACAGAGTGAGACACTTTCTCAAACAGAAAAAGAAAAAAATTAAAGTCCCCTTTGCAGACATTCATCCCACTGGTATGAAAACAGTGCTTACTACAGCATTAGCACTGAGTAGGGCCAGCAGAGGGTAGGCCTGATGTGACACAGGGCTGGTACATTTTCATCAGGTGTGGGGAGGGGAGGCGACCAGGCAGAGCAAGGCCTAGCTGGTAGAATGTGGAGGCAGGAATGGAACAGGCCATCACTGGAACACATCTGTTGTTATTGTCTATGCAGGTTCTAGACCCCTTTTCTGGATGAAAGCACCCAGATTTTCCTTGGGGGACTCCCCTTTCTCCCAAATTTTAGAGGAGCTGCCTGTGTGTCTAACTCTAGAGCCTGGCCAATCAGAGCATCCCTGAGCAGCAATGGTTGATTCAAGGATAGGCACATGACCCCCAAAAGCAGAGACACTGAGGCCCAATTCCAGAACTCTGGTTGGCCCCAGGAGGGCTTCGCTCTTCTCTTTCTCCTGAGGTTTGTGGGGAGGACAGGATGTGAACTGGGACTGCCACTGTCCCCCCGGGAAGAGCCCGTGGAGGAGGCGGAGCAGAGGGGTGGAGAAGGTGAGACCAATTTCCTTTTTTTTTTTTTTTTGAGACAGAGTCTCCCTCTGTTGCCCAGGCTGGAGTGCAGCAGCACGGTCTCGGCTCACCGCAACCTCCACCTCCTGGGTTCAGGCAATTCTCCTGCCTCAGACTCCTGAGTAGCTGGGATTACAGGCACGTGCCACCATGCCCAGCTAATGTTTTGTATTTTTAGTAGAGACGGGGTTTCACCATGTTGACCAGGATGGTCTCGATCTCTTGACCTCGTGATCCACCCGCCTCAGCCTCCCAAAGTGCTGGGATTATAGGCGTGAGCCACCGCGCCCGGCCTGAGACCAATTTCTAAAGTCATCATAACTTCACCGTGGGATCCAGACGGACCTAAAGCCAGCAGATCCCTGGACTCTTTGGTAATGTGAACAATATATCCTTTTCCTGGTTTCAGCTAGTTTGAGTTGAGTTCTGTAACTGAAAGTCTAACTAGTTAAGACCAGGAGGGTCCTGAGCCCTCATGGAGGTGCCTCTGAAGGAGGTAAAGCAGATATGGAGGTTTTTTTGTTTTGTTTTTTGTTTTTGAGACAGAGTCTCCCTCTGTTGCCCAGGCTGGAGTGCAGCAGCACGGTCTTGGCTCACCGTAACCTCCGCTTCCCAGGCTCAAGCAATTCTCCTGCCTTAGCCTCCCGAGTAGCTAGAATCACAGGCACCCGCCGCCCCACCCAGCTAATTTTTGTATTTTTAGTAGAGATGGGGTTTCACCATGTTGGCTAGGCTGGTCTCAAACTCCTGACCTCAGGTGATCTGTCCGTCTCAGTCTCCCAAAGTGCTAGGATTACAGGTGTGAGCCACTGAGCCCGGCCAAGATGTGGAGGCTTAATAAGGAAGGAAAAAGGGACATTTCATCCACTTTAAGCCTCTGCTTGACTCTGCCTCTCATGGGGAGACATCAGTCTCCCCATCACATGAAGAACACACTTAGGCTGTTGTTTATATAAATACATAATCATAACTTCTACCCTCCATCCTTCACCCCGCCACCAATATGTGAGGGGAAAGAAGGTCGTGCTCCTTATGCTTCCTAATGAAACAAATACCTGTCCCAGGGGTGTGACCTTGGACAAGTATCAAGGTGGCAGATTCCCTGCCTCTACTGAGAAGGAGCCAGACTCAGCCACCTCTGAGTTCCTGAGCATCTTAAGAGCCTCAGATCCTCATACTAGAGGGACGTAGGTAGAGTTCCAGTTTCTGAGTCCAGGAAGATCCATGATACCCACTGCCCACTGACATTATTTCAGAACTCACCTTTTTTGCAACGATGCAGAGTTGTTCAGCTGGAAGGTAGTCAAACGGGAAAACAAATCTCCAGTTAAAATTCCCTTCGCCATCCAAGGACCTGTAATGGACATCTGTTTTCTGTTTGTTTTCTTCATTGCCAGGAATCCAGCTGAAAGGCAGAGGCAAACAGACTTAGCTTCACGTGATTGACAAGTAATCTCGCCACAAAATTGTGCAGTAATTAGGGGAGCAAAGAGCGGGAGAATTAATGCAATTTTCTTGGGCAGATTCCAGTTATCTACGGAGCTGGGGGTGATTTATGGAGGGAAGGTGCTCTATTGCACCCAACACAGGTTGCGGCCAAAGAAAATATCATTCCTCTAAAACCAAAGCAGGAAACCCTTTAGACTTCAGTTAACAGGGTTAAGATGAAATTTTCTGGAAAATATCAACAATGTAACTTCTATTTTGGGTACACTGAAGCCTGTTGGCTATGATTTTAGTCGTCACAACTATAACTCATCAGTGTCTGTCAGCACTGCTGATAGGTTAAATGAATATGAGTTAGCTCAAAATTTTAGCATTTCCTTTCCCATATTTAAGCAAACAAAAGAAGCACAAATCAGGTAATCTTACAGCTTCCTTTTTAAAAATTATTCTTAAATTCACTATGATAATATTAATGATACTGGCAAGGAAGATGTCAGCTCTTATTTCCACATGCGTATCTATGAGCATTCATTTTGGTAACATCTTAACTTTTAACATTTGAAAAGTTTTCTTCTGCTTGTGCCTGGCAGAGTAGACACTAGATAAATACCAACTGAAGGAATGAATGAATGAGTGTGCCCAGAAAGAAGCTGTTGCTACTGGGAAGACTTCCAGTTTGAAACCAGAGGGTAACATCTGATTTTACACCGGCAAAGCAATAGAGTGCATGGTTCTCAAAACTACACATTAGAATCGCATTAGAATCAACTGGGGACCTTTTAAAAACATTGATGGCTGGACCCCACAGATAGAGACTGAGAAACTCTCTGAGCCTCATCTCCCATCTGTAAAATGAGATTAATGATATGTGCTCCCTTCACATGGCCAGCTTAAGGCTGCGGTTCAGCAGGGATGGAGTGGGAATGGGGACACCATTAACTCATGGTTATCCTCTTCTATGAACAGGTA